TTATTTATTTGACAGAGAGAGACACAGCGAGAGAGGGAGCACAAGCAGGGGGAGTGGGAGAGGGAGAGGGAGAAGCAGGCTCCCCACTGAGCAGGGAGCCCCATGCGGGGCTCAATCCCAGGACCCCGGGATCATGACCTGAGCCAAAGGCAGACGCTTAATGACTGAGCCACCCAGACGCCCCAGGATCAAGCATCTTGACATGGGGGAACTACCCTAGATTATTCACTGGGCCCAGGATAATCACACCTATCACATCCTTAAAGAGAGAGGCAGGAGTGACTGGCAGACTGGAAGGCCATGGAACGAGGGGAGCAGAGTTAGAAGATGCTTCCCCTGACTTTGACGAGGGAGGAAGGGGCCACGAGCCAAAGACTGAAGGCACCTCTAGAAGCTGGAAAGGGCAAGGAAACATTCTTCCCTGGAGGCTCCAGAAGGAACCCACCCTGCCCACACCTTGAATTTAGCCCCCTCAGACTCATTTGGGACTTCTGACCATAAGGATTGTAAGAGAAACAGTACGTGTTGTTTGAAGCCACTGAGTTTGTGGTAATTCCTTACAGTAGCCCCAGGGAACTAAAACACCTTAGGGAGAGGATACTGAATGTAATCTTAAGGATTGACGGTTGTTCCCCACCTTCTTTCAGTCTGTTGGATGTCATTTAACCTTCTCTTGTTAACCCTGGCCATTGTGAATTTATATTGGTTCTGTTACCCAATGCAGCGATTTCCTTAGGAGCCGTCCCCAGAGGTGGGGTGGGGCGTGGGCTTTACGACCTAAATCAAACCACCACGTGCTCTGCTTTTTGAGTTTTGTTCCCTTTTCTGTGTGTCAGTCTTCTTCCCTGGCGCCTGTCGGTGGCCGTAGGTGTTGCTTTTTTTTTTTTTTCCTGCTTGCTTTTCTTGCCTTTTTCAACCTTCAGACAAGGAAACCAGGGCCGAGTATAATCTTTAGTTGTAACATTGGGACTCTGTGGTGTCTTTTTGATGCTCAGAGGCCCTTTTCCCCTGCTGTCGTCTTGGCAGGATTTTTGTTAGGTGACCTGTGGGGGTGGGGGCGACCTTTAGTTAGATGCTTGTAAGGTCGAAACAGATACACAGCGGTGTGTGGTCCTTTCCAGGATGTTGTGCAGAGGCTGACATGCCAGGTGCTCACGGAGGACTAGTCTGAAGCCTTGCTTCTCCTGGTGGGGTCTGCAGATCCGTAGTTTGGGTGTGACCAGGGGGGCTTGGTAGGAGTATGATACCTGCAGTGCATTTGAGCACAACCCATAGCCCCATAGAACCCGAGAAGCCTGGCTCAAAACCTCTCAGGTAGAGGACCCAGTGAAAGACCCAGCAGCCACAGCCAGCTAGGCTCCAGGCTCTTGGTCTTGTCTGAGCAGGGGTGTATACCCTTAGGGCCCAACCCGGCAGCTCCACCCACGCTTCAGCAGAGGGTGAGCACTGGACTGAGCTACTCTTCTGCCCGCTTTCTCTTGGCAGGTGTCAAGCTAGGGATGCAGTCCATTCCCATTGCCACAGCTTGTACCATTTACCATAAGTTCTTCTATGAGATCAACCTGGATGCCTATGACCCCTACTTGGTCGCCATGTCTTCCCTTTATTTGGCTGGCAAAGTGGAGGAACAGCACCTGCGCACTCGTGACATCATCAACGTGTCCAACAGGTAATGGCATGCAGGCCCAGGCCTTTGGGAGGACTCACTGGTGTCCACCCAAACGGGAGGGCAGAGAAGGGTCCCACTGGGCCCTGACCTCCAGGTGACAGTGGTCAAGCTCAGAAGGAAGCACCAGGGTGGTCTTGAACCAGGGCAAGAAGCACTAGCAGCAAAGGTAGGAATGAGCCTGGTGTCAGAAACCCATGGGGTGAGTGGAAGAGAAGCTGGGGCCAGATTAAGGGAAGTCTCAAAGGCCCGGAGGAGTGTAGAGGAGCTGGGGTCATGGGGTGGGGAGCACAGCTAGAGCACAGGGAGCTTGGAGAGATATGTCAAAGAAGATTCGTCTGGAGTTTGGGGCAGGATGGATCGAACCCGTTGTGTTCTGTGGGACCTGTAGGACCTTCCCATGCAGGGGAGGGTGTGGACCCAGTTGGGCAATTATTTTATTAAGATGGTGTGGGAAATTGAATCAGAATTGCTAACAAGCACCTCTTGCCCTGGTGTGGGCATGGTGCTCTGTGGGCGGCCCCCTTGGGCCCGAGCAGCTGTGTTCCTACTGGGAAGGATATGGGGGTCCAGCCAGCCAGGCTGCACTGAGACCCAGGGTGCCCAGGAGAAAGCAGTTTGTGGAAAGTTACTGACTAGCAGTATGGCGTAACCTTTCTAGAAACTAATCATTAAGAAAACTGTTTTGTGCTGCTTCTCTTTTAATAAACAGGCAACGGAAAAAGCACTCCCTACCCCCTAAGCATGACGGGTTCGCAGTGTACCGTGAAAGGCTGAGAGAAAAACTGGAGAGGGAACCAAGGGAGGGCCGCTAGAGTCCACCTGTAATTGCCAGGTCCCCAGCAGGGAGGACCGGTAGAGGGGAAATTGTGTGGACCGCTAATTAGACATGAGCACCCGGGTGGGGTTCTGTGGGGAAGTTGCAAAAGGAGTGAGGAACTAGGAAGGCTGAGTCATTGGCAGAGAATTTTGATCACTTGAGTGTGAATCCTGTTCTCTTACATCTTGGTGATCATGCGTAGGTGGGAGTGTTGTGGATATATATGGCGTAAATAAGGACAGAAAGATCTGGAACAAAGGAAAGACAATCTGGGAACATAAAGCTGAAATACGTTTATTCTTCTGCATATAGCATCCCCATGACATGTTTCAATTCCTTCCTTGGACCCAGAGTAAGAGCCCTGGGCATTGCCGTCCCAGGTGGTAAAGCCTGTCCCTGATCCCAGGCTGACTGATCAGTTCAGTGTGTGCTAGAGCTTCCAGTCCTTCTGGAGCAATTGCAAAGACTCATCTTTACCCTTGACATCTTGCTGAGTGATATGGGACAGTCCATCAAGGGCTGAAACTAGAAGCTGGCTTCTTTTCTCTGTTAGTTACCGTTTAAACATTATCCTATATCGTAGGCATGTAGATGAAGATGACTTATAAACACATCAGTAGAACTGGCCCTATCTAGCAGAAGAACACTGGAGTTTGTGTCTGGACACCAGGGGACTCGAGGGGCTCCCCAGAGACGCTTCCCTGGCTGCCATAAGCATTGCTGTCTCTCGTGCAGGTACTTTCACCCGGGCAGTGAACCCTTGGAGCTGGACTCCCGCTTCTGGGCGCTCCGGGACAGTATCGTGCAGTGTGAACTCCTCATGCTGAGAGTCCTGCGTTTCCAAGTCTCCTTCCAGCACCCACACAAGGTACCTGCTGGGGAATTGGCAACTGTTTCTAGAGGCACGAACCTTTTCATTTTTCATCCTGGAAGTGCACCCACCAAACCCTCACAAACACGGGGTGTATGTGAGGAAGAGTGAGCCACAGCTGGGCCCTGGGGCTCCCGACTGCACACCCTGACTGGCTTGTGTGGCCCCTCTTGTCCCAACTCCCTGGGTTTTCTCAGGCAGTTCTAATTTCAGCTTCTGCCTTTGGGCCTGCCTGGCCAAGGCCGCAAGCCGGGATCCGTGTGACTGTGAAGCCCTTGCCGATCCCGTGACCCACCTGCATTGTGTGCTCAGTGAGCCACAGGGAAGTAGGGCTGGTTTCATGATGCCCCAGAGTTCCTGTCCCCAAGAGTCGCGCTCGGCCTCAGAGCTCACATGCAGCTCAGCTGTGCTTTGAAACCCACAAGAAAATCTGAGTCACAAAGTTAAGTCGCACACTTTTAACTGCTAGGAACACGTAAGTCCCAATAGAACTGTTTCTGACGGCAGCAAAAGGGACGTGTGGAACCCTTAGAGCACTTGGATGTGATACTTTGGGGGCCCCAGTCCCCCATGTGGGCAGCTGGGAAGGGTGGCCTGCAGGGAAAGACGTGGGGCAGTGGGGGGTTGGGACAAGGGGATTGGGACGTGGGTTGTGAATAGGATTTCGTTTTTTTTCTAATTGAAATTTGTATGAGGTAATTGTAGATGTACAAGCAGTTGGAGGGAACAACGCAGAGATCCTATCTGAGATGGAGACTTTGCCCAGTCTCCCCGAATGGGAACGTTTTGCAGAACACCCGTCAGTGTGACAGCCCCTCCCCTGCCAGGGATTCTGGGGGTCGCTGGGGTGTTACTGGCACAATTTTATCCCATATGCACCTGCATATGTCCTCCACCACAGTTGAAATACAAAACAACTCCCATCCCCACAGGGGTCCTTATAATCTCACCCCACCCTTCCAAACTGCCTTTCTAATCCCGGAAACCTCTGGTAGAGATTTTAAAAGAGTTGGGTTTCCGGTTGGTCGGTTGGTCGGTTGTTCGGTTGGTCGCACGATGCAGGGGAAGGCAGGAGCCGCCCAGGCTCTGTGTCTGAGGAAGACCAGCACCTGCCAAGGGGGCTGTCGGGTGGGGGAGTGGGGGCCAGCGTTGCCTTGAGCCTAGCGGCCTTCCCCTTACGTCAGGTCGGGATGGGGTCTAGGGCAGCCAATGAGTCCCCTGTTCCGTGGCAGGCTGGGGTCGCAAGCACGTGTGTTCAAGCCTGTGGAGCGGGCTTATCAGTGTGTGTGTGGATCGGCCGGTTCGAGCAAAGCCGCTGTCTTCCCGGAGTGGGAGCTGACAGACAGCTGAGCTGAAAAGCCATTAAGAGTGTACAGCCAAGAGCAGCACTCCTGGAAAACACGGTCACCTGTCGTAGCCCCTCTGAAAGCGGGCGTCCTGTCTCCGGGCAGCCCCTGGCCTCAGGCTGGGCACACGGGCGCAGTGTTCTGTTTGGAGTATAAGGACGCTCGCTGTTTCTGGAGCTTATGTTGAGTTGGGCAGGGGGATACACAGAATGATTTCTGATGATGGCTAGAGCAGGGCCGGGTGATGGAGAGGGGACTGTGGTAGGGGTGGCCATCGGTAGAGGCTTGGGCGGCGTCCAGCAGCTGGGCCAGGACTTGAGAGCGGGTGGGCACGGGGACACCGGGTGGGGGGCAGGGAGCGGGGGAGGCGATCTCCGGCCGAGGGAGCGGAGCGGTGAGTGCCAAGGCCGGGAGGGAAGCGTGCTCGGCATGTTCAAACACGGTGGGGGGGCGGGGCGGGGCTTGGAGGCCAGTGGAAGGCACTGGGGCTTTTTTCCAAGGGACACAGGGAGCTGTTGGGGGGCTGGAACAGAGAGATGACTCGATCCAGTTTGTGTTTTATTTCCGCCGAGGCCGCTTAGGGGGAGAGTGGCTGGTGGGCGGGGGGGCAGTGAGGAGTCAGGTGTCTCGGGGGGCGGGGGCCCCGAGGCCACTTGGCTGACTGGTGTGTCTTTGCAGTACCTGCTCCACTACCTGATTTCCCTCAAGAACTGGCTGAACCGTTACTGCTGGCAGCGGACCCCCATTTCCGTCACTGCCTGGGCCCTGCTGCGGGACAGCTACCACGGGGGGCTGTGCCTCCGCTTCCGGGCCCAGCACATAGCCGTGGCGGTGCTCCACCTGGCCCTGCAGGCCTATGGGGTTGAGGTGCCCGCCGAGGCCGAGGCCGAGAAGCCGTGGTGGCAGGTGAGGTGACTGCTCAGTGTGCCGGTTCCCCTTTCCTCTGCCTGAGGACTCATCCGTGTTCCTTGGTGGTAATTATCCTCGAAGGAAGATACGGGCTACTTAGGAATCTCGAAGCTTGAACACACCCTGTCATGACTGTCTAAGGCAGGGGCTCTCCGCCTTGGCACTGCGGACATTCGGGGCTCGATCGTTCTCTGCGGCAACACCATCCTGTGCTACCCTGTAGACGCCCCAGTCGTGACAATCAGAATGTCTCCAGACATTACCAAGTGTCCCAGGGTGGGGATCACCCCCAGTTGAGAGTCACTTTGCTCGGCCAAGCACTTTCATTGAACTGAGCGGGAGCTTGCTATAGATCGGAAGTTAATAAACTTGGATCCACATCAGAAGAAGTATAGAGGGAGTCCTCTAAAAAGATGGATTGATAATGGACAGGCACATAGATGATAGATAGACCGATAGATGACAAATGGGTAGAGGGGTGGACAGACAGACGGATGGCACGAGATGGACGGGTGGGTGGATGGCTAGATGGCAGACAATGAGGCTGATGGTCGAAAGATTCGCCGGCCTCCCCCCGACCTGCTGAATCCACAGCACGGTTTGTAGAGCGCGAGTCCGGGGGAAGGGCTGCCCTCGAGGACTTCCACAGTCCTATCGATTTTCCCTGAGTAGTCCCCACTGTTTCTCACAATGGAATTTTGAAATCATTTCTGGTTTTCCCTTTCCCATACTAGACCTGAGTCTAGTTTGCTGTTCCTTTCTTATAACACATCGGCCTTGCCCCAGAGGAGGTTCTCTGCAAGCAGCGCTTGCGGTACCTGAAGGTTTCTCCTTCTGGCGCACCCGCCCTCCCCAGCAAATCAGCCAGTGGCCAGAAGTCTTCTAAAATGTGTCCTCTGTTACGTGAACAGAGGGTGCCCCCCTGGGTGCCCTCCTGGGTCTGCTCCTGGCTCCCCCTCCTTTCCTGCAGCTCTTGGCTCCCATGGTGCCCTTCCTTTCCTGCTGCCCCTCTGCGGAGACCCGGCTTCTCCTGCTTGCTTTTTGTTCTCTTGTCCTTTATCGTCAAATCCCTCCAGCTAACCAGATAGCAAGTGCTGGGAGGTCAGGGATCTTTTTTTTTTTTTAAAGATTTTATTTATTTATTTGACAGAGAGAGAGACAGCGAGAGAGGGAACACAAGCAAGGGGAGTGGGAGAGGGAGAAGCAGGCTCCCCGCAGAGCAGGGAGCCCGATGTGGGACTCGATCCCAGGATCCTGGGATCATGACCTGAGCC